TAGAACTGGCTGTCTTAAATAGCTACTTAACAAACTACAGTGTTTCCACAACTTCCTATCTTCTTACTAGAGATGTCTGTGGTAGGTGAGGTCTCAAAAAAAGTCAAGATGGCAGTCATGATTCATAGGATCAAAGCTTTGTCCCTCTTTTAATATACATGCAATTCCTGTTAAAAGGAATGGAGCTTTTGATCAGAGGATTACAATTTTTACTTTTTTGTCTTCTTTTCTGTAAACACTCCCAATTATTATCTTGTTTAGCAGCGAGAGAAATGGACCACAATCATTGTATGTAAAATCCATGTTGATGTACAGTAGTAAAGAAGGATTATGTTGACATTCAAATCCAAGTCCAATTTTAAGCATGTTGTTTGTTCTTAGTCATGTCATGAAGATTTTAGGCTTTGTTTTGTTTTGATTTCCCTCCCCCCCACCTTAGTTTGTCAAGTTTTTTCTCTGTTTACCAGAAAGAAAGATTATCTTGAATTTAAAAGACTCCCAGAAAGGAGTTGTAGGCAGGAAAAAAAAACTTATCTTTTTTTTACCCTATTCTCAGTAAATCTAAATTCATTCTCTTGTCTTCAAAGTTAATTACTTGTGAAAAAATATCAGTCTTCCTTTCATGTAAATCTCCAGCTATTTCAGATTGCTTTTTATCGTGAGGCATTTCTCAGATTTATCTGCAAAGTAAAATCAATTACCCCTTTGTTAATTATCTCATCTTTTCATTATAGTTTTCTTCATAAATCATTCTCCTGCTTAATCTTCTTCATATCCTATTTCCTCTGCCTCCTTCTCTACTTGCTGTCTTTCTATCACCCATGCAACATTTCAATTTTGCCATTCTCTCCAAAAGAGATCTTGTTGTTTTAGTCTGGTTCTTCATAACAACAACTGAGATTGGCTGTTTGCTTGCAGTCATTTCATTACCAGACTAGGTAACATCATCAGTGCTACTGAATGTGGGATTTGTTCCCCGTTTATATGCAGTGACTTGCCCTGCTAATGTTGGTGGGGTTATGGTTTTCTCCTTGGAAGTTCCTTGATTAGGGTATTGTTTTCTGCTTCATTATTTTTTCTGGTGCTAAACCCTGCTCATCTGTGTTCTGGTTGCCAGAAAGGATGTATTCTGGTCTTTTTGTTTCCTTCTTAGCTTTTGAATGGTATGTAAATGTAGTTTACCTCTATATGGCTGTTGATGGCTTATTTGTCTATCAAGTTTCAAGAATTGCCTAGCATTTTTGAATTTAGCTTAATGTGGGATGCTTAGTTTCTCAATTGAAATTATGGTTAAGTCTGTCCATATCTTGTGAGATTAAGAAGTTTTCATCATGCCTTCTGAATGGTAGTTGATATTCATGGATGTGCTTTGCATGTCTTCTGTCTGCCTATTTTAATAATGGCTGTTGCAATCATTACACTGGTATGTTAGTGTTTCTTTTGTACATTGTATCTCTGTGTTTCCTTTGCAGAAACAACTGGAAGATTATCTCACAAATCTCTTAAAAATGCCCCTGTACAAGAATTATCATGGAACTGTAAGTGACCTTAAGATGATGTTTACTTTTGTGTGCTCAGTTAAAGTTATTCTATCATTATAATATGATGGTTTGATAAAGAAAGATAAAATTAGTGATGTGAGTTATAATTGACAGCTTGACTTAAATATATATAAATGGTAACTTTAAGAGGTTTTCAAAAGTGTTTGTGCTGCCAGATCATAAATATTTGGGGAGGTTGGGTTAGGTGGAAGAAGACATTTTGATTTTGTATCTAGACAAGATAAACCTAGCTACTGTAATTACAACTTTTTGAGCAAATCATAGTCAAAGAACAGTGCTAATTCAGACAATCTGAACTTTATATGTAATGTTCTTTGTGATATCAAGGTGTTATTGGCTGAATCTTGTGTTACAAAGTGTTGCTGTAATAGAGCAATTAGCTTTAGGTTTTGTTTGCAATTTGAAGACATACAGTCTCATTCATTGACTTAGTATGTCATATGATCCCCCAAAATATAAGATTAAGTCATAATATGGGTATGTAGTGGATGGAGCATATCGCTTACATGTTTACCAAAGTTTAAGATTCAGTAAATTTGTGAGAACCCAAAAGCAACTACGTGTAGTCCACATTTAGTGATGGTCTTGTTTTGCAACCATTCATACAGTGATGAAAAAAAATAACTTTGCAACTAATATTTGTATTTATAAACTTCACAGGTCTGTAAAAAAAGGAAAGCTGAAGTAAGATCATAAACACTAAACATTTCACTAAACAACTGAGTTATGGCCCCAATGAGGACTGAAAAAATTACTACTCTTTTCTATAGTACAACCAAAAGCCCAACTAATTTGGTAGATCAAATTTCATCAGGTTCAAGGTTGACTCAGCCTTCTGCCTTCAAGGTGGGTAAAATGAGGACCCAGATTGTTGGGGGCCAGATGCTGACTCTGTAAGCCACTTAGAGAGGGCTGTAAAAAGCACTGTCGAGTGGTATATAAGTCTAAGTGCTGTTGCTATTGCTATCTACGTTAGGGGTCACCAACTTTTCAGACCTCAGAGACCACTAAATTCATAATTTTAAATCCTGCGGACAGCTAATATGAATTTTTAAAAAAGATAAATAGTATTTAGTGCAATATAAAAATGCAAACAATTTTTCTGCGGATCACCAAAATTTTCTCGTGGACCACCATGGACCACTGGTTATGACCACTAATCTACGTGGTGAGAGCTGTGGTGGCGCAGTGGTTAAAATGCAGTATTGCAGGCTAATTCTACTGACTGCTAGCAGTTCAATCCTGACAGGCTCAAAGCTGACTCATTTTCCATCCTTCCGGGGTTGATAAAATGAGGATCTAGATTGCCGGGGACAATATGCTGACTCTGTAAACCGCATAGAGTGGGCTGTAAAGCCCTATGAAGCCGTATATAAATCTAAGTGTTATTGCTATCTGTACTTCACTAATCACATGCAAATTGGTGAATCTGAATTATCAAAAATTTAATATGCTATACAGCTCAGCCACAAATCTCCCTTTCAGTTTCTTTACCTGTTTTATAACATTGCATAAAAGATATTTCTTCTCGAAAGAGTGAAGTACGTATTAGATGAATCCACAGAGAACAATGCTGTCAGCAACACTTGAACTAATGTATAGAGGTTATGTATATCTACTTCTAGCTGTTGGATGTAACAATAGAGAACTGTTGTGTGACGTGTATCATCCCTGAACTTGTCTAGTTTCTATTTACTTGAAACAGAAGCAAAACCTTGAGATAACTCAACAGGGGCCCCCTTTATGTTTTTGAAAATGTGATTATAATTTCTCACCTGCTTGTGTAGGCTTGAACTGGTGTACATGTGTAATAACATAATTGCCTTCTGTTCATAAATGCAATATCATGCCAACTTGGCACTTGGAAATGTTGAGTCACTTGAGAAGGTTTGAGTACATAGTGCTGCTGTGTAAAATTTCACTCCAGACACATTTTCACCTCTTTCAATGTTCTCCTAAGACGTGTGTCCACTTCCTCTGTGGAATTTTACTGCTTCTTCAACAAGTAATTTCTGGTAGCAGGGAATAATTCAAATCCATTGAAGAATTATTTCCAGGGCAGAGTTTTGAATTCAGGAGGATAGTATTTATGCACAGCAAGAAATATATAGAGGTGCCCACACACATATCCCAGCATAGTATTTTCTTATTTTGTACATCCTGAAGAATAGAGTTACTTCTTGTATTAGGGAGTACCTTTGATTACGTTATGGTCTTCCAATATTATTGGGTATATTTATTTTTATTTATTTATTTGATTTGTCAGTTGCTTACAAGATAATAGGTATAAGGATAAACATGAGTAAGAGTACAGGAAATAGGTACGAATAAATGGGGACACTAAGACAGAGATGATAGGCACAATGGTGCACTTATGCACATCCCTTACAGACCTCTTAGGAATGGGGTGAGGTCAACAGTGGATAGTTTGAGGTTAAAGGAATAGGGGTTAGAGGATGTAACAACAGAGTCTGGTAGTGCATTCCAGGCATTGACCATTCTGTTGCTGAAGTTGTACTTTCTGCAATCAAGTTTGGAGCGGTTTACATTGAGTTGTTAGTGATAGTTTTGTAATTGCTGTATTTTTTAAAAATTGCATTGCATCTCTGTAAAGTTGTATATGAGCATTGTAAAGAAAGAGATGAACAACTTGTGTCTTGCATGCGGTACTTCACATGGGGCTCGTATGCAGCCCAAGTAGTCAATGGGATTAAAAATGTTGACCCAGTTTTTCTGTTATTTGCATGGGGGTGGGGAGATATTAAAGCCTGAAATTAGTGCCTTAAACCTTTCCCTGTCCTCCAAGGGCAATTCACTCCATTAGCAAAGGATTAAAGCTAAAGTGGGTACCTTAAGTCAGAGCACAAAGGTAAAATATGACCTTCAGCTCAAGAATGTTATGTATCTCTGTGTTACCCTGCTAGAATGTTGTCATAATCATAATTGCCTTTGTTTCTGGCTTAAAAGAACCTGCATTTTGTGTTTACATTGAGTTTGTATCTGTTGTGTGCTCTTGTATTGTTGCGGTTGAAGCTGAAGTAGTCATTGACTGGTAAGACATTGAAGCAGATAATTTTGTCTACTACACTTAAGTCCAACTGTAGGCGGCATAGTTTAAGGTTGTCCAAGCCCAAAATTAAGACTAGTGATACAGGGTATTCAATTGAGAGCAGAGGAATGTAGTACTCTTCCCGTGAAATACTTCTGGACTCGCTCAATTGTATTAATGTCCAATATACAGTACGGATTCCAGACTGATGAGCTGTACTCAAGTATTGGTCTAGCAAAAGTTTTGTATGTTCTAGTTAGCAATTCAATATTTCCAGAGGAGAAGCTGAGTCTGTTGCAATATTGAATGCTGGATTACAAGCCAGGATCCATCCTAAATTCCTTTTCTACTTACCTTTTATATCATTCTCTTGGATGCTTTGATTATAGTCATTGTTTATGCTAAAGATCTGTTGGCCTTTTGTAATTCTCGGTGATTGATGATGGATGGTCAACGATTATGAAGTGTGGTTTGTAATGCTTTCTCTTGGGAGCTTTTTTCATCAATGATGATCAGCTGATTCTGCATCCATTTGTTGACTATATAGCAAGGTCACTAATTCTTATTTTAAACCAATAACTACTTATTGATTTGGTACTGTGAACTGTTTACCTTAGGTGGTAGTTTTGTAATTGCTGTATTTTTTAAAATGCATCTCTATAAAGGTGTATATGAGCATTGTAAAGAAAGAGACAAACAACTTGTGTCCTGCATGTGGTACTTTACATGGGATTCCTATGTAGCCCAAGTGAGTCAGTGGGATTAAACATGTTGACCCAGTTTTTCTGTTATTTGCATGTGGAGGGAGAGATATTAAAGACTGTAATTAGTGCCTCAAATCTTTCCCTGTCTACCAAGGGCAATTCACTCCATTAGCATAGGATTAAGGCCAAAGTGGGTACCTTAAGTCAGAGCACAAAGGTAAAACATGACGTCCAGCTCAAGAATGCTATATATCTCTGTGTTACCCTGATCATCAGTATAATGTTAAGCTAGAATGTTGTCATAATCATAATTGTCTTTGCTTCTGGCTTAAAAGAACCTGAATTTTATGTTTTAAGGGTAGCACAAGATCCTTTGGGATTTGTCGCCACCAAACAACTGTTACTAATTCGCATGCAATTCTCCCTTTCTCTTAGAGTGATTTTCCCTAGATGTTTATCTTGGTGGAACAATGTATATTGACACTGAAATCTTCACAGGCCTTACTTTATAACTCATTTCATTGGAAAACCTGGATGAGATCTTGAGTATTCCCCGGGATAGCTGAAGGAATCTATAATTTCAGATTAGGCATAGAAGATGTTACTTTGCTGCCTTTTATAGGATTCTGCAGCTTTTAAGCTCAAGGCATCCTGCATTACTTTTTTCTGTTAATGATTACTCTGCAAACATGAAAAGACAGCAGAACTCCTGTGTGCTCACATTCACCAAATTCAGGCAGTTGTTTAATTCTTTTTTGTTGGTTGGTTGGTTTAAATGATGGGTAGACATTACACTTTGACTTAATGAGTACATTTGCACCGATCAAATCTTTTTCTGAATGAAAGTGAATATACGTGTCCCAGGATAATGCTGGAGGATCCAATCTGGGTCCAGAGATTTTATCTTCCAAGCTTTTAGACTAATGCCGGAGCCCATCTTCAGGGAACTTCTCTCTAGGAGAGTGTGGGCTGTTGTGTGTGTTGTGTTTATATGGTGCCAGTTGTTATGTGGCTTTTTAGATGTTGATTGGGGTGTGTTGATGGCTGGCTTTTAAGTCATTAGCTGTCTGTTCGCTTGTGCTGCCCCTTCTAAGTACTTAGAAGGTGAAGGCTGGGCAGCACAAGCAAAAAACAAGCAACAACTTAAAAGCCAGCCATCAACACACCCCAATCAGCATCTAAAAAGCCACATACAATAATAGGCACTATAAACACCCCACAGAGAACAGCACACATTCTGTTAGAGAGAAGTTTCCTGAAAATCAGTGGTGGTATGCTACCAGTTCGGCCCAGTTCTACTGAACCAGTAGCAAAAATTGCTACCATTTGGGCAGAACAGGTAGTTAAAAAAAGCCTCCAATGATCAGCTGAGAGGAGAAAGAAGAGAAAAACCCAGGTGGCCCTGCCACCTCCCCCTGCGCTTTTCTTTTTCCTCTCAGTTGATTGATGCTGCAGGCCTCAGTGGGTGTGTGGAAAGCTGCATGTGTGCATTAGGGACATGCACGTTAGATCACCGAACCAGTAGTGGAACAGATAGGATCCCACTGCTGCTAAAGATGGGCTCTAGCATGAGTCTGAAAGCGCAGAAGACAAAACCTCTGATCCCGGTGACTGACTCAGATTGGATCCTTGCAACAAATTTTTTTTCACTTAATACATTGACAAATCTAGCCCTAGCTAGGTAGCTAGTTCGTTTTAGTACATTATCTTACCTAGACACAACCTTATTTAACAATGTTCCATTAACATAGCCAATATGTTTTGGGTTTTTTTGTCCCTAAACCATGTATGATAGTACAATATGTGACTATAGCTAGTATGCCTTATTCAATAAATAATTATAAAATAATCAGAGTCTAAATATTAGAAAAGCTTCTGGATCAGCCTTGGAATATCTGCCATAATGCAGAGTCTGTGTTGCCATAAATGCCTACTGGTGGCTTTCTCAACCCAGCTCTCTGGTTTTCTACATAATGACTTGGACTATTATAAACTCCATTCAAAGATTGGGTTTACACAACATACTAAATGCATTTAGCTTGTTCGTGATTCTGCATTTTGTGTAGAGGTCACAGAATAAACAAGATGACTCCAGATGAAACTGACTCAGCTACCTATACGCAAGACTGAACCACTAATTGATCACAGATAAGGCTCAACGGACTTCAAAGGGGCTTGAATTTAGGTCTCTTATGGGGATGTAGAGACTCCATATTAATGATGTGTTTGATCCTGCCCTGATGCTCAGTCTGGTTGTCTCCTACCAATTCCCTGTCTGTTTTTGGTGGAATTTGATTTAGCATCCTAGTACCATTGAAATAAAGCAACACATAGACTATTCTTGCATTAAATTAATGGATAATGTTTCCTTTCCCTTTGTATATCACTTTCAGATGGAATTCCTTGGTGTAAGTCAACTGTCATTCATCCATGATCTGGGACCTAAAGGCATGTAAGTCTTGGCCTCTTTATGAATATGTTTAGTGAAAACATTTCCATTTTCTGTTTTCAGCTTCTGGTTTACAGAACATTTAAGTAGAACATATAACTACCATGGAAGATAGAGCAATTGTGTAGATATGGTGCTGTTTGTTTGTTTGTTTGTTTACTTAATTTCTCACACTTATATAGCTGCCCATCTCACAACAAAGTGATTATAGGCATCTTACAACAGAATAATTGTAAAATCCAAATATAAATTAACTACAATTTAAAAAAACAGTCAACAATATTATTGCTATAATAAGACAATGGAGAGAATTGATGTTAAAACCAATGTGGCCAATTCATTGCCTTGAGGCCTGCTGACACAGCCATGTTTTAAGGCAGGGGTCTCCAACCTTGGTAACCTTAAGAGTTGTGGACTTCAATTCCCAGAATTCTGGAAGTTGAAGTCCACAACTCTTAAAGTTGCCAAGGTTGGAGACCCCTGTTTTAAGGGATTTTCTTGGGAAGAGATCAAGGATGGGGCAAGTCTCACCTCAAGGGGGCAGACAATATTCCATAGGGTAGATGCCACAGGGGGGAAAAAAGGCCCATCTTCTTTTGTAGACAGGACCCACAGCATACCTGTTTTGCCAGACCTAACCAGATTAGATATAATCAGGTAGAGACAGTCCTTCAGATAAACTGGCCCCATGCCATGAAGGACTTTAAAAGTCAAGTCCAGCATTTTAAATTGGACCTGGAAGCAAACTGGCATTCATAGGACAGGAGTGTTTCAGAGGTATTTTTTCAAAAGACAACTGGACTTTCTTGTTCTTCTTGAAAGACGTTTCAGTTCAGAACTGAAGAAACTTCTTGGATGAGAAGTAAAATGTCCTCAAGTAAAAACAAAGACCAGTTGTCTCTTGGAAAAGTACCTTTGGGAAACCATGACCTGAATGACTGAGAATTTCCATAGATGTAGGACAGGAGTATAACATGTGCCAATCTAGAGATACACCTAGCTGCCTTTCCTGCTGCATTAGGCACCAGCTGAAGGTTCTGGATACTCTTCAAGGGCAGCCCAGGTAGAGCACAGCACAGTAGTCCATTTGGGAAGTGACCAGGGAATGAGTGGTTGTGAACAGAGCCTCCCAGTCCAGGAACTGGTGCACAACACAAAACACAAACACAAGAACATTGAAGCTGTATGTATAATCACATGCATGAACGTTTGATGCAGATTTCTGATTTTTCAAAGCTTTGGTAAGGAGAATCGGCTAAATATTCAAGTTACGGAAGGCTGTATGCAGAAAGATACACAGGTGACAACACTTAATCAATGTGAATACCCATGAAAAAACTAAGTAGGGCTGTGTGTGGATAATATAGTGTGGGAGAACACTGGGAAATCTAATAACTGTAGGATAGCTGGAAGAAGGTATTAATAAGCTATATCCATGCCATTGCAAGAAAATGGCATGGTGGGGTCTCTGCAATCACCAGAAGCTGAGCTCAACCCATTTTTCTGACCAATGCTTCCTGAGACCTTAATTAAGCATATGTTTAGTCCGAACAACTCTTGTTTTATTTCAACACTGGGAATTATGTTCATTCCCAGCCTATAAAGAGTCCCAAACAGTCTCTCGAGATAAGCACCCACCTTTATCTCCTTTGAATTGCTGCCAACAACTAAAGTGCCAAATTAACTGTAAAAAGCCAAACGAAGTACAAAGTCCACACAGAGTTTCAAGGTTTAACAGAGTTGAAAAGAGCGAACAACATTGCTTCCTGCAAAGGTTCCTGTCCCTTTGCACTTCCTTTTTCTTATGGGAGGGGCAATCACCTCCAAGCCTTACTCCCAAGTCACCCCTTTTGTCTTAATTGCTCTTGCCTTCTGGGAGCTCTGTGCACACACGCACTGGGAACAGGCTCCTCTTGTTCCTCTGCCTCGCTGCTGTCAGATTCTGGAGGCTCTGGAGTCAGCACATAACTCCCAGATGGCCCTGGCCCCATCTCTGTATAGGATGCAGGAGCCTCATCCGAGTCCTCCCCAGACTTCCGGACTGGCCCATGTTCTTCCCCACTGTCCGATTCTGCTGCCGTCTCCGCAAGCTGCCTGCAGACCACAACACCCAGAGAGATTTTATGCAGAAAGAGATTTGCAGGATGAGAAGCTGTGAATTTTTCAGCCACCTCCTGCTTCTATTTCTGTAGCAGCTAGAGTTAGTAAGTGATAACTTGTTGTGAAAGATTTCCCCCTTCTAATCCCTGCAAACTACAACATTGTCTAAAGCGATGGCAAACCATGACAAGTGCGTAACTAGTTGACACAGCATGCCACTTTCGTGACACTCAAGCCTCCAGACCGAAGACAATGCTAAGCCATTTACATAACCTGGTTAAAAAAAAGGCATGAACGTGTGCATGAAATCACCACAACTTGTGAATTCCAAAGAGTCAAAGGCAGGATTCTAACTGGATATTCTTTTTAAAAAAATTAGAATTCCTAACGGTAAGAATTCAGCATTATCCAGAAAGTTGGCCAGCTTTCCTTTGCTGGATATATTTAAGCAAAGACAGAGCAACTTTCTGTCCAGGAACATTGGTTTTTTGTCCTGAACTGGGGATTGGATTTGATGACCTAAACATCTGCCTCTAGCATTTCAGTTCTGTAAATGTGAGACAAAGACAAGTTTATAGTCTGTTATGAATGGATTTGATTGTACTAGCTGGCCCCACCATGCTTCTCCACGTGGTTCTCTCAATGTTCCTGCTGGCTTATTTATTTAACATATTTATTATGTTATTTGCCTCTGGCTGGTAATCCAAGAAACAAACTTTAAAGGACCCATGCTTTGCTTTTAGTTTAAGGCTTTCATCTATTACCAAGCAAAGAAATTTAAGAAGTTCGCTGAGAAACAGAACTAGGTTAGAGCATGGTGCATTCTAGGTGCCTTCAATGAATGCAACTAAATTGTGGTTGCTTGAATACATCCAATTCAAGATATTGGCATTAACACTTAAAGTCCTGCAGGGCTAAGGTCCAGGTTATTTTGACCACCTTCTCCTCCAGGTAGACTCTCCCCTACCAATTTGTTCAGCCTGGAATGGGATTTTGCAGGTATCCCACCTTCTGAGTTTAGAGGAGAAGAAGCTCAGAAAAAACATCTTCTTTATGACAGCCCAACCCTTTGGGACTAAATCCATGCAAACCCTATATTTGGCATGTTCAGGCTAGCAATGGAACAATTCAGGCAGGCCTTCGGAGTTTGAAGATTCCTTCACAGGGAGCCAGTGAGTTTTATGTTAATTTTATGTTCAATTGATTTGATTTATTTTAATGATGCTTTGATATTGGATTCAGCAAGGAAAGAGTGTATATATCACAAATAAATAAATCTTGCAGACAAATAACAGAGAGGGTTCCTGATATGAAAAAAGGAAATGCATGGGGGCTGCCATTCTCTATGATTGAAATTGATTGAAAAATACCCTGCAAGACTGGACTTTGTTCAGTGATATCCAGTAGATCAGAGTTTCTCAACTTTGTCCATTTGAACATGTGATGCGACACCTGGAAAAATATGACATGCTTCACTTAATCCTCCAAGGAAAGATTGAAATGCAAACCAAGTCCAGGCAGAAGAAGAACATGATGGCTTCAAAATCTAAGGGACTCGTTTGGACAAAACTCAGCAGCAGTTTTTCGTGTGGCTGTTAATAAAAATAGGATCTCCAACATGATCGCCAACCTCCGATGACAGATATGGCACAAGAAGAAGAAGTCCATTTGAAGATATATGGACTTTAATTCCCAGAATTTCCCAGCCAGCATGGAGTCCACCCATCTTCAAGTAAATAAAGTTGAGAAACACTGCGGTAGAAAAAAGTGCTGATTAAGTTTTTCTTCTCCTAAAGCAGAGGTCTCCAAACTTGGCAACTTTAAGTATTGTGGACATCAACACCCAGAATTCCTCAGCCAGCTATGCTATCTGAGGATTTCTGGGAGTTGAAGTCCACAAGTCTTAAAGTTGCCAAGTTTGGGGACCCCTGTCCTAAAGGCTTGCTAAATCATTACACCCTTTTTCTTGTCTTTCTCTTCAGAGAGGGTATGATTATGAAAAGGTCTGGAGGACACCGAATTCCTGGCTTAAACTGTTGTGGGCAAGGACAGCTATGCTACCGATGGTCAAAAAGGTACTTTTGTGGACCTTCTGAATTTCTTTCTAAATGTTTTTCCCCCCAACATTAAGCTGAATGTTTTAGAATTAAAGAAAGGTAGCTTAAAAAAAAAACCTGTGGGTGGCACAAGTAATTTTTGCTCTCTTAATAGCTGTCTGGTATGTTTTAAGCAGAAGAAACATTTTGAAAAGACCTGAATGATATTACTCTCACCTAAATCAGATGCAAAACTAGTGACAGATGGAGTGGTATATATTAAATTGGACCCCTTTTGCACTCAATTTCATGAATAATCTGGCAATAACTCAAGAGTTCACCTTTATTCAAGCTGCAGGAGCCCATTTTTAATACTTTCCTGCTTTGTTCCTTTTACTTTCAGAAAGACGAATTGGGATCACATATTTTTACTTTCAAGAACAGTAGGGATTTATAACACAACTGGAGGCAGAGGGTAGCGAACACAGCTTCTTTTTTTCGTTACTCAATTCAAAACATTTTAATTTTAGAGATGGTGTTCTCAGTCCTTCTTATTAATATTATAGAAAGCCAGTTTGGTGTGATGATTAAGGCACCAGGCTAAAATAGGGAGGCTGTGAATTCTAGTCCCCTTTAGACACAAAACCAGCTGGGTGACCTTGGGCCAGTCACTCTTTCTCAGCCCTAGAAGGAAGAAGAAAATGGCAAACCACTTCCAAAAATCTTGCTAAGAAAACTTCAGGGACTAGACTGGGCAGTTGCCATGAATCAATGCTCATTTGAAGGTGTGTGCATACACACACACACACACACACACACACTCATTATTACTACTATTCACATTTACACACTTGTTGAATAATCAATGCATGTTTTTCTTCTTAAATGAAAGTTTCATTGATTAGGAATTAAGACACCCTTACAAAGCAATTCATTATAATTAAATTTAAAGTGAAGGTATACGCTTATAAAATATGCAGCAACCTTACTTCAGACATACCTTCAGGTAGCAACGACATTCTGCTTACTAACGATGGTTTCTCTATTTCATTTTCTGTCATTATTTTAAATGCAGTAAAAAAAATTTTTTTTAAAAAAAAACCAATAGTTTCTCTTATTCGGAACAGCCTCTTGGTAAGAAATAAGCACAATGGGTCCAACTTCAACTTCAGCTCCAAGGCAGCCCACGAGCACGTTTTAATTTTCTGGAATGTCTACAGAGCCTAAGGAAGACCCAAAGGCATATTGGGAAATACACAAAAGATGAGGCTAAAATTCTACCCTTTGGCTTGCTGGCAGGTCCATAGAAGAGATCTCTAGAAAGGTTATTTTTGAGGCCATCAAGTGGCTAGTCCCTGACTTAAGGTGCTCCTTGACCTGTATAAATACTTCCCTAGTTGGGCTTTAAGTCTGATCTAATATGATCCAATGAACAATTGAGGGACCTAAGTGTGTGTAGTCTAACAAAGCGAAGGACCAAGAGCTGTATTATGGAAGTCTTCCAGTATTTTGGGGGGGCTATGGGAGAAGTGGGGGATCAATCTATTCTCCAAAGTCCCTGAGGGCAGGACAAGAAGTAATAGGTGGACGATCATTGAAGAGAGATCCCATCTAGAACCAAAGATAAATTTCTTGACAGTAAGAAGAATTAATCAGTGGAACGACTTACCTTCAGCAGTTGTGGATACTCCATCATTGGAGGTTTTCAAGAGAGACTAGACATCAGAGGTGGTATTCAGCAGGTTCTGACTAGTTCTGGAGAAACAGTAGCGGAAATTTTGAGTAGTTCGGAGAACTGGCAAATACCACCTCTGACTGGCCCCATCCCCATCTATTCTCTACCTCCTGAGTCCCAGCTGATTGGCTGGGTCTTCTGTGGGCCATGCCCACAGAACCGGTAGTAAAAAAAATTTGAATCTCACCACTGCTGGACATCCATTTTCTGAAATAGTATAGGGTCTCCAGTTTGAGCAGAGAGTCCCTCCCAACCCTGTTATTATGTTTACTGTATGTAATGTGGTTCTTGCCTTCCCCTGGCCCGATTGGACCTCTTCTTTGGCAGATCTCTCTCTCTCTGGTCTTGGCAGGCCTCTTCCACGCAGAAGGAGATTTCGGCTAGCAGGAATGACTCCCCTCATTCTAACCCCTCCACTGGGCAAATGTTTTCATTTAGGAATACATTCTTAATTCATGGAGATATGAAGGAAGTTGTATCTACTGCTTGCAAAATCCAAAATTAGATAAAAGCATCGAAATGCCTCCCGGCAGTTTGAAAATGTGTTGCTTTTTCTTTTGAACAAAAGAGGTGCTATGTTTCAAAGTATATCATGATTTAGATTTTGTAGATATCCTTTTACCGGATGAACACATTGTTTGTGGGTGGGGGGGGAGGCTTTCCTTGCAAATTTGTTATTTTCTGGAAACTACCACGAAAACACTTAAAATACTAACACGGAAGGACTGTGGATTTAATTTTCAATATCTTGGATCTATCTGTATATTAGGAATTGATATTTACACCAGTAGATATGTTTTAATTTTGTTAGTTTAAGGATTTTGATTACAAGCATTTGGTGTTTAATAGACCAGTTGGACCTATGCAGCCCTCATGCCTGGGGAGTTTTAAAAAACTGTATTACTGATAGTCCTCGCTTAACGATGGATCACTTAATGACCATTAGAAGCTATGACAGATCTGATCCAAAGATACTTACAGATCTGCTCCCAAAGGTATTTACAACCCAGTTCAGGAGTTCTGACAAAATTACACACACACACAAACACACACACATGGTCACACAACTACATACATCTCAGGCACTGTGGCTCATTTTTATAATCACATGACCACGATTTATGAAAAAATTTTTTTTAAAAAAATGATTTCTGACTTTTCCAGCAGCAACAACAACAAAAAAAATGCCCATAGGAATAAATAGATTTGCTTTACAATGTATGCTTTACAGCCACTGCAATAAAAGTCATAAAATCAGGTTTGTCACCTAAGTGCCACAATTTATAACCATCACGACTTATGACAGAAATTCTAGGGTCTGCTATGGTCATACATTGAGGACTCTCTGAACTGCTTTTTGTTGTGTGCTGAAATCGTGCACACACGTGCCAGTACCCACAATGCAATGCGCCCTGCCCCCCCCCCAACGCATCTGCACGCAACCACCCCATACCTGCACTGCACATGCGCGTACCACCCAGCTGATTTTTGGCCCATTTGAGGCTGTTTTTGCCCTCCCAGGGGCTTGAGGAAAGCCTCTGCATCTTTTAGAGGCCAAAAAACATGCCCGTTTTGTCACTTCTAGTTTTAGCACTCCAGGATTTCCGGAAGGGCCATTTTTCAGCCTCCAAAGGCTGCAGAGGCTTCTCTCAAGCCCCCAAGAGAGCAAAACAGCCTCAGACGGGCTGAAAATCAGCTGGGAGGCACACGCATGCATAGTGCAGGTAAGTGTGGCTGGGGCTCGCATGCCCACACAAATGACTCGTGTGCCACCTGTGGCACGTGTGCCATAGGTTCGCCATCATGGGCTTATAGTAACAGTAGTGATATTAACATTATTAGCATTCTCCTAGATTTAAGTAACCTTACAGTGTGTAAGATGCTGTCAGAGTTCTGGGTTTGTTTTGTTTTTCTTCAAGTCCCAAGAATTCAATAGCACTTTATTCTTGGTCATCTTTCAATTTGTGATTTTCTTCCTAAGCAAACTTCCTGGGAAGTAAATCTCATCAGGCTCAGAGTTTGCATTCTGTAAATGGGTGAGGATATGGCCACAGCAATACCTACATTTGTCTGAGCATTTCTTTCTTTTTTTCAGTCGCACTCTACTTTAAGCCTTTTTCCTTTTGTTCTCTCTTCCTTTCTTTCTTTGAAACATGTTTTGCCTTGTAGAGTCAAGAAAAATGCAGCACAACCTTGGCAGCCAATTTGCTACCCAATGTTCCCGGATGATTGTTCTCCTTGGAGAGCCCTGGGGTGTCCTGAAACATTTACAAAAATCTCAATTCAATTAGCAGTGTGGAGACAATGCAGGTTTTGTCCTGGAGTACATGGCACCATCCAATCACTATCGCCAGTAAGCAGGCTGGATGCCCTCAGTTGCTCATTTGCATTTTATGGAACATCAAGTCTCAGGCTCCCAAAACAAAGAGACAAAAGCCTGACTTCCCAGGACAGAATCTGCTGCATGCACTGTCAGCATTCAATCAGACTAGAGCTGGAAGGGACCTTGGAGGTCTTCTAGTCCAACCCCCCTTCAAGCACCTTATACCCAGGGGTGGGATCCTGCCGGTTCTGCCTGGGTCTATAGAACTGGTAGCTCTGAAGAGCAGCAGACACTGAACCGGTTCTGTGTTTGCTGCTGTTTGGCCCACCCACCCACCCGGGCTCTTTTCTGTCCTTTATTTCCTGCTTTTTCAACCTCAGCTGCTATGTGCAGCACAGCTGAGGTAGAAAAAGCAGGGGAAAAGAGGCTTTTCAAATGCTGCGCACCTGCGTGCAGCACTTTTCAGCTGTCCGGGCGGCACAGCTGATGTTTTTTTTTACACGCGTGCAAAATGTATTCACCGAACTGGCAGTAACACCAGTTGAATCCCACCCCTACTTATACCATTTCAAACAAGTGACTGTCCAGTGTCTTCTTAAAAACCTCTAGTGGTGGAATACCCATAGCTTCTGAAGGCAAGCTCTTCCACTGGTTAATTGTTCACACTGTTAGGAAGATTCTTAGTTCTAGGTTACTTCTCTCCTTGTTTAGTTTACATCTATTCTTTTTTGTCCTGCCTAAAGGTGCATTGGTAAATAAATTGACCCCCTCCTCTTTGAGGCAACCTCTCAAATACTGGAATACTACTATCATGTCACCCCTAGTCCTTCTTTTCGCTAGACTAGCCAAACCCATATCCTGCAACCGTTCTTCATATGTTTTAGTCTCCAGGCCTTTAATCATCTTTGTTGTTCTTTGTACTTTTTCCAAAATCTCAACACCGTTTTTATAATGTGACCAAAACTGGATGCAGTATTCTAGGTGTAGCCTTACTAAAGCTTTATAAAGCAGTACTCATGATTTTGATTCTCTGCCTCTGTTTATACAACCAAGGATCGTATTGACCTTTTTGGCTGTTTCCGCACACTGCTGGCTCATTTTTAAGTGATTGTCCCCTAGAACTCCAAGGTCCTTCTCATAGTTAATGTTTTTGAGCCAGGTGTAGCCTAACCTTTGGTCCAAGTGTCCAAGCACCACCCCATTCTTCCAAGCACCACCCCATTAAAATTAAATAACTTTTAAGATGAAATGAATATTATCTCAAGGCTTCCCAAAGTTGCATTTATTGCTGATTGGAAACACTCTTACAAATTTTTTTGGGTGAAACAGAAAAGCACGAATTTAATGATTTATAGTTTTAGACAGACTAAAGAAAAAAGAGAGTTATGTTGTAGCCATAGAATAAAAAAAAACCACTTTGTCCCGAAGATGCTTTTTCAAGAGGCAACTGGACTTTCTTTGTTTTTCCCTTCTTTGTTTCCTGAAGATGTTTCACTTCTCATCCAAGAAGCTTCTTCAGTTCTGACAAAGAAAGTCCAGTTGTGTCTTGAAAAAGCACCGTTGGGACAACCATGACCTGAATGACTGAGAAACTCCATAGACAAGAACCACTTTCTATCTTCTTTTTCTTTTCTATTTTTACTTTTCTTACACTTTTAGCATTCGCCTTGATTTCTTTCTTCCTTTCTTTTTTGCTTTTATTGGTATTAGTTTTTATTCTTTTTTTTAAAAAAAACCTTTAAATAAAATTATACCAAAATAATTTCTTACTCACAAAAATAAGAATTTTGCCAGAATTTCAGGGCAGTCGCCTGCTGCCCTGTGAAAAACCTTGTATAATTATACCAAATTCTCACACAATTGTATACAGGTACCACCTAGCTCAGGGGCCTCCAACCTTGGCAACTTTAAGACTTGCGGACTTCAATTCTCAGAGTTCCTCAGCCAGCAAGGCCTTAAAGTTGCCAAGGTTGGAGACCCCTGACCTAGATTACATTGAGCTCAACTCTGGGCAATCCCAAGTACATGTTGTCTAATGTTCTTGGCTGTGAAACAGAAATCATTTGGAACAGGCTATTCTGCAGACAGAGAGGGACACAGCAATAAGTGAGTAAATATTAGCGGTTGGCAGATGGATGCTTCTCCCTAAGTAGCAAACAGACTGAGTTTTGACGCTTTGCTATTAATGTGCTATATAGCACTTCTAAATTGCATGATGAATTGGCACACGAGGTGATTTGGAACAAGTTATGACTGCAGCAACCAAGTGGGAAAATATACCAATTCTGATCCCTTGTGTGAAGAGGAACAGTTTGGATGCTGCCATGACACATGTTCTGAATTCATAAGAGTTAAGAACTCCACGTAGGGAAAGCATGTGGCCAGAGTATGCTTATGCTTCCCCCCACCCCCGCACTAATGTGTCATTTCCTGTATCAAGAACCAAAACTGTCAAGCAATGTGTACCATCAAAGAGGAAAAGGCAAAGCATAAAAATAACAAGGTGTTACTAGTCCTTAGGAAGTAGCCTGGAGAAACCCCGCCACCCCAAGCCATGATTTGAGATCAGTGACAAGTTTTTTCCTCCTGGAGAAAGCATGCACCCATTTTGAGAAATGGCTTTGTGTGAAGCATTCACTTCGGTATTCCGGCTATGTACGTGCATTCCCTAATGGTAAAAATAGTTTGAATAGGAGACTTTTTCCTCCCCATTCCTCCCACAGCACTTAGGAAGTCTACACTGAACACAGCAAAATATCTCTCTCTCTCTCTCTCTCTCCCTCTCTCTCTCTCTCTCCCTCTCCTTCTCCCTCCCTCTCTCCCTCTTTCTCCTCTTTCCCCCTTCTCTCTTTCCCTCTCTCTCTTTCCCTCTCTCCTCTTTCCCCCACCCTCTTTCTCTTCCCCCTTCTCTTTCTCTCTCTCTCTCCTTTCCCCCCTCTCTCTCCGTATACATGCACATATGCACACTTTATCTCTCTCACTGCTGCACAGCCTGTTGCTTAGCAATACACCTTTTCAAACCTAAAGTTGAAGTCTCCTTTTTTATACACTTTAATGGAATTAATTTGGTGTGTTTTTATAAACAATGTTTACAGTTAACAGCTGAGTTTTAAAGCGTTGAGTCTATAATGATGGGCGGAAGCGTTTCAAAACAACGTGCTCCAGAAATTGGAGACCAAGAATCACTAGCCAAACAAACATCGAATACTATTTTTGTTGAATCAAGTCCTAGACTGAATGGTGGTTTATTTTACCAAAGCACCATGGTGAATGTGTCTTTTCTGAGTCACTTCCAACATTAAGGTTCAGAAGATCCAGTGAGTCACAGAAGAGCTTAGCAACTAATTATTGCCTAGGAAAATTTCAACCTGGCTTGCATGGATATGAAAAGTGTCAGAATGGAATATTCCACTTCACTTGGCTGGGGGGAAATGTCATTTCTGAATTACAAAATAGAGAAAAGACATAGATAGTTCCTTCAAGAAACTCACAAATATGGAGCAGAAATGAACAAGCGTAAAACAAGCATTTAATTTAGTCCAATTAAAAAGTCCAGGGGGCAAAAAAAGCACCCACATTAATTTGGGATGATAACAAAGTCTATAGCACCACAGAAGTATATGGTGGAAACACCTAATTTTCTAATACGTGTGTGTGTGTGTGTGTGTGTGTGTGTGCTATCAACCCATAGAGTGTGGCAATGCTAGCTACTATTATTATTCATTCCTTTTATTACTTTCTTTACTTCCCCCTTTTATTGGTATTATGGTTCGTCACACAGTCAGCCAGTGTTCAGACTGGATTTAGCACTTTTGTCCACCTTATCAAGTCCTTTCCAAGGATCTGAGATAGGCAGATGCGTATGATGGTTTGTAACATAGTCAGACTAAATTTGCCATTTTTGTCTACCTTTTGAGTTATTATTATTTTCTCCATTAACTTGCAAGTACACTGAATGCTTCTGTACCAGAGAGAAATGCCTTGTATCTTTAATCACACTTGGCCAATGAAGTATTCAGCTGGAATAGTGTTCAGTTGGAACATTCTGACTGCCACATTGTGTTTTTTTTGGGGGGGGAAGGTGCTGCTAAACCAGGGGTGTCCTACCTAGGCAACTTTAAGACTTGTGGAGTTCAACTCCCATAATTCCCCAGCCAACATGTTGAAGTTGAAATCCACAAGTCCACAAGTTGCCAAGGATGGACACCGCTGGTCTTTCAGATTTGGAAGATCAGTTCTGGTTTGCTTTAGAAAATGTAACAAAAGGCAATCACGTTTCCTAAGTTGTCTCTTTTGTAAGATTGCTATCTCTTAGCATAGTGGCCCACAAAGATTTCCCACCCACATCCTGAAGAATGCATACCTAAAAATGTCATCTCAGGTCAAGCTTCCACAACATACTGCCAGCTCAGTTGGGACTATCCAACTTCAGAATTCCTAGACAGTTGTTTTCTTTGTGTTTGACCCATATGGTTTCTTGTACACTCCTAGTTCTTGTAGCAAAGTTAGTAACAGGGGATGCAATGAAGGGTTTTCTGGTAGATGATAATTAGCATGTAGAAGCAATGACCAGCTCAAGATGACTAAGCTGACTCCTACACAAAAAGGAGAACTATAGACCCTGGTGCTGAATTAACTCATTCTCTGGGCTTCTGCTATACAAGAGCCAGTTTTGGTGTAATGGTTAAGGTATCAGACTAGAAACTAGGAGACAGTGAGTTCTAGTCTCACATTAGACCCAAAGGCAACTGGGTGACTTTGGGCCAGTCACGATCTCTCAAGACTTAGGAACAAAGCAACAGCAAACCACTTCCAAAATCTTGCCAAGAAAACTGCTTGGAATTGCAATTAATTTGAAGGCAAACAAACAAAAAAGAGACTATATAAGAAACCATAAATTAAAGAACCAGCTAAATAATACATTAAGCCCCAATCGAACATCAAAATTAATGAACCAAAATTACTGGTTTGTATATGAATGCAACTAACCAAAAGTAGTATGTTCTGTGAATGCATCTTCTAAATATTTAATTAACATATATTTGAGAGTATATCCAGGCAGTTAGAAGTTTGAGGAGTTAGGGTCTTAATGTAGTGTTATACTACACATACAACCTATGAAAGAATATCTTAGCTTAACTATGTAGTTCATATATATATATATATATTGTTAAATAAATATCAGTCTATCAGGTGTAACCTAAAAGTAAGTTGAACTCTGTGAGAATCGAGTATATAAATATATATCAAGTCTTAAGGGTCAGGTTAGACAAAGCTGGTTTCGATGATTCATTGGTTACTGAAGAACTCTAAATCGGGAGGGTTTTAACCATACTTACCACTGTTGATAAACCTCAGTGAACTGAGTCTGGAAATTGCCTACATGCATTCTCTTCAGAAGAGGAATAACTATAATTAAGCTTAGGCTTGTCTAGAATAGATTATGTTAAGTAAAGCAGTTCATAGAAAATACGATACAGAAAAAAGTACACAGCAGGCAAATTGTGTTGCTTTTAGGAACAGGCTATGGGGAAAACTACAGTTGGGATTATAGCAAACATGGTTGAGATGCTTTAAATGTTAACATGATTAAGTTATCAACATAATACTGGTTTTATTCTACTTTTATTTCTTCCCCAGGTGGTTAGTGGTAAAAGACTCTTTCTTATTGTACATGAAGCCAGACAGTGGAGCCATTTCTTTTGTCCTCCTGGTTGATAAAGAATTCAGCATAAAGATTGGCAAGAAGGAGACAGAAACTAAATATGGGTTACGAATTGATAATCTTTCCCGGTAAGAAGTTCATATAGTACCACATGATTATCTCCCTCTGCAAAATTGAACATTCTGATTCAATGTGTTCCAAATTGTAAGTTTTCTGCTGGTTGCTTATGACACACGGTGATTGTGTACAAGGAAAGAAATGTGAAGCTGAATGTTTGTTTCCTGTCCAGGTCACTGATTTTGAAGTGCAACAGCTATAGACATGCTCTCTGGTGGTGCCAAGGAATAGAAGAATTCATTCAGAAAAATGGCAAGAACTACCTCAAGCATCACAGATTTGGTTCCTACGCAGCCATCCAGGAGAACACACTAGCCAAGTGGTAAGAGAAGATGTTCCATTGTTTAATAGCTGCTGATAGCATTTGACTATAAGTATCTGTAGCAGTGTGTCTCAACTTTAGCCACTGTTAAGAGGTGTGGAATTCAACTCCCCGAATTCCCCCAGTCAGCATTCTGTCTGGGAATTTCTGAATGCTGCAATCCACACTTGTTAAAGTTGTCAAGGTTGAGAAAGGCTAATCTGTAGCAAGACAACATGTGTCATGTAGGGCATCACACTAATGATGCAATTATGTATTTGTATCTGTTCCCAATGCATAAGTCACATTGTTTGCAGGTGGATGTTACGATGTGCATGTGTGATGACCCGCAGTCTCTCAAAATAACCCCAAACCCAAAACATATATTAAAGTCCAGTAAAGCCTTCAACTTAACTTCACTATTTTATTAGGCACAGTTTAAAGTCACAAAAGTAAATAATGAGATAAACAGAAAACCAAAACAAACTGCATTGATGAGAGTACTGAAACAAGCCGAGATAACTAATTATAAACTCCAGGAAAATAACTGAGAAAAGTCCATGGGAAGAACGCCAACAAAGATAAGCCTCTTTCAAGGTGAACACTAATTGACTTCAGCAATTCTAACTGCACAGTTGCAAACTTATATAAATAGCTCCCACCTGCAAGCCACAAGGAGGATCATGGTAATCTCCTCTTGAGTAGACCTTTCTTTTCCCTGATCGTCTCCTCCCTGCATGACCTAGGATGGATAGGGGATGAGCCTGGATCCTCGTCTGACTGCTCAGGTGGCCTCTGCCCTTCCCCAGCCTCCTCCACAACCTCTGGAGCCACACTCCCACTCCTTGTTGGCTGTTCCTCCTCTTCCTCAGAGTCAGACTCCACCACGGGCATGATATTATGCCCCCCACAGGGTCCCCTCCCCTGGGACCAGGCGGACGAGGACGTTGAGGAAACCGAACGTGAAAGTGCTGGACCAAATGAGGAGCATGAACATCAGTGGCATCGACCCATGTGAAGTCCTCTGGTCCATAACTTTTCCATGCCACCAAATACTGAAATCAACCCCACAACTGGAGTGAATCTCAGATGCTCCCCACTTTGTATTCCTCCTCTTCCAGAGGGGTTACTGGGGCCGGCTGTGATGGAGCTGGTCTATGCGGACTGTCAGTTGAGGCAGGGACTAACAGGGAATGATGAAAAACAAGATGGATAGGCATGGTCCGTGGCAGGGAGAGATGATAAGCCACAGGATTGATCACCGCCTTGACCAGAAAAGGTCCCAAGTAATGGTGATCGAACTTTTTCGATGGTGGCGTCGTTGGTTAATATTGAGTAGAGAGCCAAACCTAATCGCCGACCGCTAAAGGTGGAACATTGCGACGATGTCAGTCTGCAAACCGTTTATAGTCTTCCTTGGCTCTCTCTACTTGGTCGCGGACCATGTGGTGCATGGCTTTTAACTCCTGCTAAAACATATCCACTCCTGGAACTGGGGAATCAGACAGGGCTAAAGGGAAAAGTTGTGGATGAAACCCATAGTTAGCAAAGAAAGGGGACACATGGGTGGATGCATGTTAAGCATTGTTATAAGCAAAATCCGCCACTGGCAGCACCTCCACCCAATTGCCTTGATGAGTATTGCTGAAACAGTGGAGGTACTGCTCCAAAATAGCATTCACTCTCTCTGTCTCCCCATCAGTTTTGGGGTGATGAGCAGAAGACAAACATGCCTGAACCTTCAGTTTCGCGAGTAGGGTCAGCCAGAAATGTGCTGTAAATTGTACCCCCCAATCTGATACCATGCTGTTTGGTAACCCATGCAACCGGAAAACATGGGAGATAAACAATTGAGCCTTATCTTGACCGATGAAAGGAATAAAGTGGGCCATTTTAGTCAACATATCCATCACCACCAAAACAGTTGTGGCACCATTCGATGGTGGTAACTCAACGATGAAATCCAATGAAACTGCCCCACACGGTCGTTCTGGCATGGGCAAGGGCTGCAATAGACCAGGGGCGCACCAGGAGCATACTTGGCTTGGTGACAGATCCCACAGGACACCACATATCCCGACACATCATGTTTAAGTCTCGGCCACCAAAATGTCCTAGAGATGAGATGCAGCGTTTTGAACACCCCAAAGTGTCCTGCTGCCAAACTGTCATGATATTGACATAGGATAAGGCCACGAAGAGGACCTCCAGGCACATAAATGCAATCATGGAACCACAACAGATCCCCAATATACGCCCAAGGGGTCTCTTGTCTCCCATTGTTATCCAATTCTCGACATCGAGCTGTCACAAATGGGTCCTGCTGCTGCGCCTCCTGAATCCTCACTCGAAGGTCCACAGGTTCCTTGGTGGCCACAAACCGCTCCAATGGAATCACCATCCGGGGCAAGATTTTATCCTCCCTTCAGGTATACTCGGGCTTCCAAGATAGGGCATCAGCGCATTGATTCCGTCCACTCAAAACATAGGTCACCCGGAAATCAAATCGAGCAAAGAATAAGGACCATCTCACCTGACACTTGTTCAATGTCTGAACTGTACGTAGGTATTCCAAATTGCGATGATCCATCCGAACCTCGATTTGATGACGAGCCCTCTCCAGGTGGTGCCGCCATGTCTCAAAAGCGACCTTAACCGCCAATGGCTCCTTGTCCCAAATCGTGTAGTTTTGCTCTGGAGCTGACAACTTCCGGGAATAATAAGTGCATGGGAACAAGGTGCCTGTGGGAGCATAGGCCTGGAGGAGCACTGCACCAACAGCCACATCGGAAGCATCTGTTTCCACCACAAATGGCTGGCCTAGGATGGATAGGGGATGAGCCTGGATCCTCCTCTGACTGCTCAGGTGGCCTCTGCCCTTCCCCAGCCTCCTCCACCACCTCTGGAGCCACACTCCCACTCTCTGTTGGCTGTTCCTCCTCTCCCTCAGAGTCAGACTCCACCAGGGGCATGACAACATGTCATATTTTACAATGGATGGATGGATGGGTGGGTGGGTGGATGGATGGATGGATGGATGGATGGATATAGATGATAAATAATGGATGGATGGATGGATGCAGATGATAAATATTGATAGGTGAATAGATAGATAGATAGATAGATAGATAGATAGATAGATAGATAGATA